ATAAAAACTAAAAAGATAAGCAAGTAGCTAATAGTGGTTCATCAACGGATTAGGTTCGCCATCATCAATAGTAAAAAATTATGTCTTTCAGTTAAAAAATCATATACCATCCGAAACTTACATCAACATACCATCATCTCTTTTAGGAGTATATTCAAAACTGAAACGAGACGAGAGAACTGCAAGAATACCCTTTCTTGATCTACAACGGTTCAACCAATCATAAAAAAATGGTACGCCTGGGACTTTAAAGCCAGTCCTGTAAAAGTACTTCCGTTCTGATACTATAATCAAGAAGCATCAAAATTAGATCCGAATACAATTTGAAGCTTAGTTTATTTATTCACTGGCACACAAATGTATTGGGTCGTTTGGTTATTATTTTGAATTTTTAAGATAATTTTAAAAAAAAGTTAAATTAGTGGGTATTAGATGTAGATTTAGAAATTAATAAAAAATCTTTGGTGCGTTTGTTATTATTTTGGAAATGAGATTACGAGTAAAATTTAAAAATTTAGAAAAAGCCCATAGGTTTGCTATTAATTAAATACCCTAATATATAAAATGATAAAATCACCCCCACCACCTACAGTGCCAGATTCCAGCCACCGCCGGAATCTGGCAAGTATAGGTTGTAGGGTGTTTTTGATAATTTTTAAAATTTTTTTTAGAGTGTATTGATGAAATTAATACCTTACGGGGTCTCAAAGTAATTAAAAAAATAGGGTATATTTCTGGAATAATGTGCCAAACATTATTGAAGAATAGGGTGGGATATGGATAAAAATAATAAGCCAATATGCCCATTTATGTTTGTTATTTATTAAACACCCCTTAATAAAATATTAAAAGGTAACAAAAACACTTCCAAACTACCCATTAAATGCAGACAGCCGGAGGGTGGCCAGAGTCGCCGTATCGAAGCATGATCGGCCTGATCTTGCCGGTCTTGCGTCGATATGGCATTTTTCGATAAATCTAGCTGTAGATCTGGCCGAAAAAGGCTAGACAGCGTACTACTGCAGATTCAGTCGGTAGTGTCCATTATACAGATTCGGCCAACTTCTAGCAGTGGTGGTCGGAATCTGATAAATGTGGTTATCGGAGGTGTTTTGTAATTTCAAAAAAATTAGGGGATTAATTAAATTAATAAATTTAGAGGGTTTAAAAAATTAAATAATATAAAATAATATTTGAAAAAACCCATTTTACTATTTAACTTTATTAGGAAAACGCAGATCTTATTTGAAAGAGTGAATCAAGAGCTATATTTTCTATTGAAGGACATTTATACTACAAATCAAACAAGCATGACAAGGTCAAACTCCCTAAGAAATCATCCACAAATAGACTTCCGGAATACTAAATCTTAAATAAGTCAAGGTTAAATTTCTTTTACAATCTAGAACATCAACATAGAACTAGACATGTTCAGCCCAAGCTGAACACGACCGGCTTTCTCAATCATCACCACCACAAGCAAACGCACCCAACCCAGTTCAAGCAAAACCCCCAAACTTCAAGCAATATCAATTTACAGAAAAAACCCTCTGATTGAAGAGAGAGCAAGAAACCAAAATGGGCAAATAAAGTATTTTCCTAACCGTGAGAATGATAGTCAGACAGATTTATTGGACACATCATGATTGATTGGACTCCACTAATTTCTCGACCATTTCCACATCCTTTGTGTTTTCAATGCCTTTTGATGGACCCGTTTTGTTGATGTTTTGCTCTACAGCAATCAATTGTCCTCGAGTCTTCTCATCACTTGAACAAGAGCTTTTGCTATCAGTAAAAGAAATACCAGACTCAGGATAAACCCAGAAAAAAATTCGGGACTTGCATACTCTCCTGCAAATCACCCACTGGCTGCTTTAAGAAAAACACCATTTGAGACATTTTTGTTCTCATCCAATTGCCTCAAGAAGCATTTTCTACTTCACGAGTGACTCAATCATTTCATCCTCACTCTGTGGCTGTAATGTGCATTATCATCATATTCTGATATTGGCCCCCTCAATTCACAGGCTATCTCTTGCTGACTATCATATTCTCATCAGTTTGCTGACCAGATGAATGTGATGACATTGGTGAATATCCTCCAGTTGCTGTATCTTCACGTTCCCTCAGAGTTTTGGTAATTAGGGTCTGAGCAAGTTCATTACTTGAACAGCATGCATCAAAGCCGTCAATGGATCAGACATCTAATCAAGGAGCAAAATTTTCAGTGGCATTATGACGTTATTTAAGATGAATTTCTTGCATTCAAAAAGTGAACTTCATATTTGGTACGATTCTTTGAAAACAAGTAAATATAATTTTTAGATAGCTAGGATAGTGACAGCTTATAACCTGTGTCATATTTGGAGCAAAAAACCATCGCAATATTTCTCGCATTCATTTTGTTGGATTCCTCTTCCTCCACAAATCAGCCATAAGTCAACAGCCAATTGAGCAATGCAGCCTCAGTTGGTTCAATTGCTTCACAAGCTCAACAGATTCTCCTCTGTATTGCAATCGAGAACTTGCTCTGGTGAAAGTCCATCCAGCACTTATTGGAAGTTCTCGGAACCAGGTTTATAAACCAGCCAGACAATGGACATCAATATTGTCTGGCACAATGCCCTGTGTCAGCTGGTCTCTCACATGCTCCTCCTGACTATTCTCAGGGTTTATTCGGAAAATTCCCTCTGCCTACAAAGCGACTCAAAAAACTAGTGAGGAACTCGATCATATTGTATGAAGGTGAGCTAATGTCAAAATTAACATCAAGTACCTTAAGGCCTCCTTGTGAGTATAAACGTTCCTGCATTAGCAAGAGAATAGTGGGGACACTATTCCTCCTTGAATCAAAAGAGCGTTGCATTGATTCCGCTGAGACGCCAAACACAGCACTGCAAAATTAGATATTACGAGACAAGACCACGGACAAGACACATAGGAAATTGTTCGTTAAAAATCCTCTTTCTGGTGTGATTCTGCTCCCTAGTTGCTTTCTAATTTTATGTACTTTGATCACCTTACAGCCACACAGTTGAAGACCAGCACAAGAGAGCAAAGGAGCTATTTCAATAGTTGTAACTCTATTAGGGACTTGAAAGTTTAAGAGAGATTGGCTCATTATATTAGCATTTCTTGGTTTTGATTTCTAACTTTTTATGCATTATTTAGATATTGCCTGGGAAACATCATGGTAAACTTTATCCATCCGTCTGTGAAGAATCTAATGCAGCTTCTGAATATTGTTTAGTGCAAGGATATACACATGAAATAAAGATTTGACAGTCAACATCAGGTCACTCCTTGAGTTGGATTATGGTCTTTAAATAAATCTGAAAGGCCACATGATCATGTAATTGCATTCATAGAAGATTTATCTGTGATTTGTATTATGTCTCAAGTATCAAAAATCTGAATTCCTATTATTTAATATAGTGTCTACTATGGCAATGTTGATGGAAGGTAGAAAAAGCTATGAAGAGATAAATTTGAAGAATCAGTCTGTGAAGAAGATGTTTCATCTTTAGACTGGGCCAGCTTCTAGAGAGAGGCCAGGTTCCATCTTTAGACTGGCCAGCTTTTTAGAAAGTAGACTTTATGTATCCGTCTGTGAAGAATATGTTTCATGTTTTGCTTTTGCAGCTCATGATTATTGCCAATCCTCTAATTTGCAGCAAGTTTTTCAGGTGCGAGTTTGTCTTGGTCTCTAATTTTTCATGTTTCTTGCTCGCATGAGAATATAGTTTGGTCATCTTCTAGTAGGTCTGAAATCTAGAAGGGACAAAAGAAAAAATTCTGATAAGTCAATAGTAAAATTTAGACCGAAATGTAATGAATTTTGCGCGTGTTTTTTTTTTCCTAAGCTCAACGTAACAAATGGCCTTAGATTTTGTGTACCGTGTATTATAAGAAGTTGGAATGTTGTGGCTGGCTAAGGTATTTCTCACTAATTGATAATCATGGTAAAACTGATTTAGAGTGAGCTCTACGCTTATAAATATAAATCAACAGTCAAATGTCAATCGTTACTCGCATTGTTTTCTTTGATAAGGGTAAGGCGAAAACCAAATGACTTGACTATTAGAGGCATCGGCGTGCCAATTCGGGTGGGTTTTTAAGTATCAGGCAATAATCCATAGACACGTGGTAGATTTAAGACTTATAGTGGGTAAAATCATTGGTGGAATCCTATGTAATTGCCTTGTCTTGCCGTATGCATTTAATTCACGTATATATCTGTTAATTTCGATTCCCGACATTATCTTGTTATGATAAGGTTGAGTTGTCACAAAGTCAAGCTTGTATTCTAGATCCTGGTTACCCTTTTTTGTGCAAACCCACCTACTGATTGGAATTTGGAACAATAATTTAACAGGACAAGTCTCTATTGAGAATCATCCACGATTCAGAAATATGGTTTAACACCCTGTCATGTTCATTGATTAATGATTTCGTGAAACATTAAATATTTCACTTGTTTTCATTTTGTGTTCTAAAAGAAGAAACAAACCGATTGGGACGAAAAACAGATGGGCCTACCTATATACTAACCGTGGTATATTGATTAACGGTTGAGTCTTCAACGCTGAATTTGTTCAACTTGGTAAAATTTGATGACGTTTTTTTTTCTCTATTGTCTTCAACCATCTTCTAATTCTGGAGTTGGCATGTTGACGATGACTTTTTCAATAGTTAATTTACCATTAATTTTTGTTATGTCAACACATGCAAGTTTGGGTTTCTTTATAGCTAAATACTTGCAGCAAATCGTGGAATGTGGTAAAGTAACAATTCTTAAATGATGAGAACTGTTTGAGGTGCCAAACAAGTAAGGTCCAAGATGTTGACACATGGACTATCTTTCCTTCTGGAAGACTGGTTTTCATCTATATATATATATTTTTATGAATCATATTTTTCTTAATTACCCACCCTATATTTGATATTTTCTTCTAGAAGGGATGCACATTTTTTTATATCGGTCATTTTCTTATATTTCAACATCAACTTTTCTTCTTTTGTTGAACATAAAACAATTGGCAAGTTGATGAAATGAAGCCCACCTGCAGCTAAAACGGCGAACTACTGTTAACATATTAATCAAGTCAAAAGAAGACAGCCCTGGTTCTTCACTTTTGTTTCTTTCCAATCATGTAGAGAGCTTCCTATATATATATATATATATATATATACGTGGGCTGTCATTAAACCAAAGTTCCTGAATCATCCAACTCATGTTGCGCTTTCTTCTTTTTCGTCGAAAGAGATGGACGTGAAGAATGTTTTTGATGTGTCTTCTTATTTTTTCTTTGAAGCAACTGGTGACTCAGAGGCTGATGTTGTGGTTGATCCTAACATTGTTACTGCCATTAACCATGAAGATGACGATGCTGAATCATGTAGCTACATTTTATCTGGCTTCCCATTTGTTTGTGATGTAAATAACGGGTTTGATGCTCAAGCTGTACATGTTGATGATGAAGTGGAGGAAGGAGAGGAGGTTCATAGTTACAGAACATGGTCAAGTCAAGAACAAAATGGTATTTCTGGAGACAAGAAATCGAATGATTCATCTGAAAAAGTAATGAGTGAAATGGAGAAGAACAAGCTGTTCTGGGAAACGTGTCTGGCATCTTAACTCTGGCTTCTGTTTTCTCTTATTTAGTTTCTTTGCTAATATTTCTTCTGGAATTGGGATTGGGATCCTTTGTTCGTCTTGTAACATCATTTCATTTGGTTTGGAGTTAAAGAGAAAGGTAGGAAAACAGCCTGTCTAAAGACAGTTAATTACTTCAATGATAACAACTGTACAAATTATCATATTTAATTTACTGACTTGAGTTAAATTTTCCGGATTACTGTTTGCAGTTGATTATCTTTTGTCGGAGTATTGCAAGATGGATTGTTGAGGTGATTGGTTGTAAATCGCAAGCAAGGTAAATAAATAAACACCCACTTTTTCTTAAAGAAGAAGAACATGCCAATCTATGATAAATTAGGCGTCGTATGAGAGAATACAGTGAGGAAAGAAGAAAGAGAGCAAGAGGAAGCATCAAACCGAGGTGAAAGATAAACTTTGGATTCTGAAAAATCTGTTGATCCCAGCTTTAGTAGCATGCGGATATTAAATATAAAAACTAAAAAGATAAGCAAGTAGCTAATAGTGGTTCATCAACGGATTAGGTTCCGCCATCATCAATAGTAAAAAATTATGTCTTTCAGTTTAAAAAATTCATATACCATCCGAAACTTACATCAACATACCATCATCTCTTTTAGGAGTATATTCAAAACTGAAACGAGACGAGAGAACTGCAAGAATACCCTTTCTTGATCTACAACGGTTCAACCAATCATAAAAAAATGGGTACGCCTGGGACTTTAAAGCCAGTCCTGTAAAAGTACTTCCAGTTCTGATACTATTAATCAAGAAGCATCAGAAATTAGATCCGAATACAATTTGAAGCTTAGTTTATTTATTCACTGGCACACAAATGTATTGGGTCGTTTGGTTAATTATTTTGATATTTTTTAAGATAATATTTTAAAAAAAAAGTTAAATTGAGTGGGTATTATGATGTAGGATTTAGAAATTAATAAAAATATCTTTGGGTGCGTTTGGTTTATTATTTTGGATAATGGAGTATTACGAGATAAAATTTAAAAATTTATGAAAAAGCCCATAGGTTTGCTAATTTAATTAAATACCCTAATATATAAAATGATAAAATCACCCCCACCACCTACAGTGCCAGATTCCAGCCACCGCCGGAATCTGGCAAGTATAGGTTGTAGGGGTGTTTTTGATAATTTTTAAACTTTTTTTTTAGAGTGTATTTGATGAAATTAATAACCTTACGGGGTCTCAAAGTAATTAAAAAAATAGGGTAATATTTCTGGAATAATGTGCCAAACATTATTTGAAGAATAGGGTTGGGAATATGGATAAAAATAATAAGCCAAATATGCCCATTTATGTTTGTTTATTTATTAAACACCCCTATAATAAAATATTAAAAGTTAACAAAAACACTTCCAAACTACCCATTAAATGCAGACAGCCGGAGGGTGGCCAGAGTCGCCGTATCGAAGCATGATCGGCCTGATCTTGCCGGTCTTGCGTCGATATGGCATTTTTCGACTAAATCTAGCTGTAGATCTGGCCGAAAAAGGCTAGATCAGCGTACTACTGATCAGATTCAGTCGGTAGTGTACCATTATACCAGATTCCGGCCAACTTCTAGCAGTGGTGGTCGGAATCTGATAAATGTGGGTTATCGGAGGTGTTTTTGTAATTTCAAAAAAAATTAGGGGTATTTAATTAAATTAATAAATTTAGAGGGTTTAAAAAAATTAAATAATATAAAATAATATTTTGAAAATAAACCCATTTTACTATTTAACTTTATTAGGAAAACGCAGAATCTTATTTGAAAGAGTGAATCAAAGAGCCATTATATTTTCACTATTGAAGGACATTTATACTACAAATCAAACAAGCATGACAAGGTCAAACTCCCTAAGAAATCATCCACAAATAGACTTCCGGAATACTAAATCTTAAATAAGTCAAGGTTAAATTTCTTTTACAATCTAGAACATCAACATAGAACTAGTACATGTTCAGCCCAAGCTGAACCACGACCGGCTTTCTCAATCATCCACCACCACAAGCAAACGCACCCAACCCAGTTCAAGCAAAACCCCCAAACTTCAAGCAATATCAATTTACAGAAATAACCCTCTGATTGAAGAGAGAGCAAGAAAACCAAAATGGGCAAATAAAGTATTTTTCCTAACCGTGAGAATGATAGTCAGACAGATTTATTGGACACTCATGATTGATGCTGACTCCACTAATTTCTCGACCATTTCCACATCCTTTGTGTTTTCAATGCCTTTTGATGGACCCGTTTTGTTGATGTTTTGCTCTACAGCAATCATACTTGTCCTCGAGTCTTCTCCATCACTTGAACAAGAGCTTTTGCTATCAGTAAAAGAAATACCAGACTCAGGATTAAACCCAGAAAAACTTCTGGGACTTGCATACTCTCCCTGCAAATCACCCACTGGCTGCTTTAAGAAACCACCATTTGAGACATTTTTGTTCTCATCCAATTGCCTCAAGAAGCATTCTTCTACTTCACCGAGTGACTCAATTTCATCTTCATCCTCACTACTGTGGCTGTAATGTGCATTATCATCATATTCTGATATTGGCCCCCTCAATTCACAGCTGCTATCCCTCTCTTGCTGACTATCATATTCCTCATCAGTTTGCTGACCAGATGAATGTGATAACATTGGTGAATATCCTCCAGTTGCTGTATCTTCACGTTCCCTCAGAGTTTTGGTAATTAGGGTCTTGAGCAAGTTCATTACTTGAACAGCATGCATCAAAGCCGTCAATGGATCAGACATCTAATCAAGGAGCAAAATTTTCAGTGGCATTATGACGTTATTTAAGATGAATTTCTTGCATTCAAAAAGTAGAACTTCGTATTTGGTACGACTTCTCATTTGAAAACAAGTAAATATAATTTTTAGATAGCTAGGATAGTTGACAGCTTATAACCTGTGTCATATTTGGAGCAAAAACCATCGCAATATTTCTCGCATTCATTTTGTTGGATTCCTCTTCCTCCACAACATCAGCCATAAGATCAACAGCCCAATTGAGCAATGCAGCCTCAGTTGGCTTCAATTGCTTCACAAGCTCAACAGATTCTTCCTCTGTATTGCAATCGAGAACTTGCTCTGGTGAAAGTCCATCCAGCACTCCTGATGGAAGTTCTCGGAACCAGGCTTTTATAAGGCCAGCCAGACAATGGACATCAATATTGTCTGGCACAATGCCCCTGTTCAGCTGGTCTCTCACATGCTCCTCCTGACTATTCTCAGGGTTTATTCGGAAAATTCCCTCTGCCTACAAAGCGACTCAAAAACTAGTGAGGAACTCGATGCTCATATTGTATGAAGGTGAGCTAATGTCAAAATTTAACATCAAGTACCTTAAGGCCTTCTTGTGAGTATAAACGTTCCTGCATTAGCAAGAGAATAGTGGGGACACTATTCCTCCTTGAATCAAAAGAGCGTTGCATTGATTCCGCTGAGACGCCAAACACACTAGCACTGCAAAATTAGATATTCGAGAGACAAGACCACGGACAAGACACATAGGAAATGTTCGTTAAAAACAATACATATATCCAGAGAAAAGAGCTAACACGAAACATACTACAAAAAAATGGACTGGATTATTGCAATTGCAAATTAGCAAGTGAAAATCCATGCAATACATTTCGAAATTGGAATGGAAAGAAACTAAAACTCTGCATAGTTGATGAATTGAGAAAATCTTTTATTGGTTTTTTCTTTCCTGCGTTAAAGAAATCTCAAGTGGTAAATCTAATACCTTTAAACAATTCTTGCATCTTATTTATGACTATATGAAGATCACAAAAGCCATTAACACTAGTAAGACTATTCTGAACCCAAATTTCATTTTTTCGCTACATAGAAAATGAATAATTGGGAGAGAGCAAAATTGTTAATCTTGAATTATATTAATCAGGGAGATGAGAAACCAGGGGCTCTCTCCAACTTATGATAACAACGAGGTTGGGTTTAAATTTTATAAAATAGATTAAATTCAAGTAGAAGTTATACTTAGCCCCTATACTCAGCTGAATTTTTCAGCAAAGTAGGGCTTCGAAACGGTGTATGATTAACCTCCCTACAGTGTTATATAGTTCAGAATCCCATCAACATGAGCTAGAAGAACCAACTTTCAGCTGGAATGAAACTACATGGTAGCTCATTTAAAGATCTGTGTTAATCCGTACATAAGAGCGCGCATTCAAATTTCAAACATTCCAAAGCATAAACAAGAGCCCGGATAAAGACTAGTTAAAAATTGAACAAGAGCAATAAAATAAACGAGTACCTAGCACTTGGAACTTGACATGGGACCTCAACTTCGAACTCAACAGGAAGACCAAGAAAGCCATTGAAAGGATCAAAGGTGACGTGGGTTATGTGTTCTACATTAGTAGGCCAGCCGATATCCATATTATCAACCGTAGAGATAACATCTTCATCTCTATCAACATGACAGGACATCATTGATTTTTTGAGAGCTGCTATAAGAATCTCCGCCAGTGAAAGCTGGTTCTGTTCTTCATCACTGTCTCTGTTTCCTTTGTTTCCTTTACCAGCACCACCACATCCAACTCTCACCATTACCAGGCCCGTCATGCTTCAAGATTAATCTGTCTTTGGTCAATGTTCTTGGTGAGGAGAAGAATTTTAAATTTCAGGTTGAGTTAGAGTTCGTTTGATGGTTGTATTTATGTCGGGTGGGATTTTCAAGTTTAGACTTGGACTTCAAACGGCCACTCGTTTCAAATTTTCTGATGCCCGTCACTTTATCAACACAATTCTTTTTATTTAACCTTAGTGTTTTGGTTTATATCAAGAATGCCACTTTACCATGTGACAGTTACCGTTGTCGTTGTGCATAAAGTATTTTAACTAATTATCCAAATCAACATTATCTCCTCACTCCCAAATAAATCCATATGTAATGGCTTAAATTGGTGACACATTAATAAATGTTATTATGAAAACTAATCCTTTATTTTGCTTAGAAGTAAACATAAGCATGAAATGACTAAGTGGGGTTAAATTTAGTTTGGTAGTTTGATGATATAATTAAAGTTTGGTGAATGATATAATGAAGAATAATTAATTAATGTCATTTTCAGGGTTAAGAGTAATTGGATACCGTTGAGTGATAAAAAAAGGGCAAAATGAGGACAAGTTTGATATTTCCAATAATAAGGGGTCCTTTTTATGTCATTCGCGTGATTAATGGGGAAGGTAAAAGGGAAATGAATTTTTTTCCTTTTTGTTTTTCCAAAATATTTGTCTTTTCTCTACCGTCTTGTACTTCTATTTCTATAACCCTGCGGCCCTACCTCTAGAGCTGCCTGGTAATAATTCCCATAAAATTATTTTTCTAATTATTTCCAGTATTTTCTGATTTGGTCATGACTCATATGGCCCTCTTGTTCTCTCAAATTTGCAAAAACTCCCAGGTTGTGTTTTTACTTTTACATATATAATTACATATTGCTATGAAATTATAATTTTAAAACTCTTGGTAACATACATAATGATAAGGGTAATATAACAACTATGAATGCTAAACTGGCAAGAGCCTGCGTTATTGTATGAAATCGAGAGAAGGAGCGGTCCAGATTGAATCCTTTTTGTTTTAAGGATCTATTTTGATTATTAAAATAGGAGACAAAAGACAAGAACATAGATCGCCTGGTGGGTCCCACAAAATTATGGACCCGTTAGAAGTCCACAACCACAAGGGCAATTAGGTTGTGCTCTGTTCTCCCTCCAAAAAGCCACTATTTGAATTTGAAAAACTAAGGAGTGTGGCAGGCAGGGGCTGTCTAAACAGAGATTAAGTTGATGCTTACCTCTCTCGGCTTTTTCTGTCACTCAACTCGTGATTTTATTTTATTTGTTTTCAAATCTACGGAAGACAACCCAACGTACCAATACAACAAAAGCATCCCTTTTGTTTTACTATTTATATATAATATTTTAACAATTTTCTAACTCTCTTTTTATAAAAGAAAGTTAAATATGATTATTTTTCACATCTTAAACACGAAATGTTTATGGTAGGTAATAAAATGTTACTACAAGATGATGAAATATAAAACTTTTATGCGAAAACGCAACAACCAAGAGGTACCCGATCGATCTTTGACAATTCTAGACAGAATGTGTGCGTGATTAAGAAAAATCAACTTGGAATGAATTAGAAAATCCACAACGAAATGATAAGATAGGTTTTTAAAGTGGTTCGGTAAGTATGAATCAAGCCTACGTCTGAATCAAGCTTACATCCATTGCTATAGTGTTGTTTGTATTTGCTTTACACACAGAACCACTACAAGGGACGTAAAGGCGAGGTTAAACTCTCTCTAAGTGGGTTTCATGTTCTATGTTTGAATCATCCCCCCAAAATAGAGGTAGAGTCTCCCTTTTATATACTGTCTGACAGTGGTTGAGAGTTGTTGTTATAAGGTAGATTACATGCATAATCTCCCATAATCCAGATTTGAGTTAACCCTTCCCATACTCAAGTCTGAACACCCATGTTTAAAATTGATGGAATTGTTAGGGAAATCATCTGCTATGGAAGCGAAACGTGGGGTAAGCTCGACCATCAGATCCTGGTTTTGTGTGAGGTTAGGGGGCACAAATATGGTCGTTGAAAAGATCATACACAACATATTCAATACTTATAATACGCTCTATTAGTTCCTTTGCTTATAATTTCTTAAAATTATTTTTTGATTCTTGCTTCATAATTTTTTTTTTTTTTTTAATAGTTAAGGAAAAGGTCTCAAACTTTGCTATTTGTATTCATAAAATTTAGAGTGTTTATATGAATAAAAATGGATAGAATTTGAGGTGGGTCGGACTCCTTACCCAGTAAGGTCTTGTTAAATAGGAGAATTACCTCCTCTTATAAACCAGTAGGCTTGAGCGTGTATAGTTGATGTGGGACTCCAATACCCTCTCTCACGGTCAGTGGCGGACCCAGTATTTTTGCCCGGGGGGGCCTCGCGGTTCCGCCATTATTTGTCAAACAACTAGTGAAAACTTTAAAAAAATCACCAAACCTTAAGCAAATGAAATAATACAATATCAATAATCTGAAAGAAAATAATGCAATAATACAATACTTTATTACTTGAATGAATCTATGAGAAGCAAAACCTTAGCAAATTATGTTGAAAATAATATCCAATTCACGAGGAAACACAAGAAAATTTTTACGTAGAAAAACCTCTTCATTTAAAGAGAGCAAAAGACCATGGGAATCTAACGATATACTTAAATGCAATATAATTAAAAGAGTTTACAACAATCACAATCTACAAAAATGTTCTACAAAAATTTCTTATTTTTCCTCTTTTTTTAATTTTTATATTTTATTTTTTTGCTTTCAAAGATTATAATATAAATTTTCATGATTTTGATCAGACCTAGCCTAAGCTAAAGTCGATCAAAACTTAAATTAAATCAACCTGGCCTTGACTTTTAATATGAATTAATAAAAAAAGGAAAATTTTCTTAGTATAAACATAGATAATAACTCAAACTTCTTAAATTAAGTCAACTTACCTTGATTAGTGAAAGCTTCAACAATTTCAGTTTTCAAAAGTTTTAAGAACTAATAACATAAAGAAAGTGAAAGAGAGAATGGGAGTAAAAAATTTTAGGAAAAAAAAAAAAAATAGATAGACGTAGAAAAAAGTTGAGAGAATATATATATATATAGTGTTTCTCATTTTTTTTTTTTTAAATCTGAAAGTAGGCATGAATATATATATTAACAGAATTTTTTTACGGGCCTATATAAACAATTTTTTTTTAAATATGAGGGTCCGCCCCTACTCATGATCAAACCCATATATTGGATGATGCCTTTAAAGGCATACATCTGGTCAACAAATCTTAAATGGATTGTGGCAAAGTAGAACCACTTGAGCCCAATCCATATTTGGCACAGCTTTTATTGGAATACAAAGCCGTAAATTAATGTAGAGACTAGAGTTGAACTTTCCTTGTACTAAATAAGTGTTTCATGCTTTTTATTAACTAAAGGGATTTCAGGTCTATCCAAAGCATCTACTGCAATTTAACAATTTTATAAATCTTATATATTATAAGGTTTTGATTTGTTTAATTACTGGGTGTGAGAATTTGTAGAGCTAAGTTGGCAACCATAATTTTTATTTCGACTCATAAGTATATAAATTTAAAATAAAATATATGTTCAAGTATAAAATGACAGTGCCAACAATACTAATTAGTAATAATCTACACCTTCCACACAAATACGGTGTTTCCTAATTTGCCAAATTGAACCACTGGACCACATGGATGAGACTCTCTCTCTTTAAGCTCCTGGGTTCTCCTTAGGGCCAGGACCATGCCACTCATGCTCACACCTCAAAATTATGTTTATTTTATATAGTTTGTATTAAATATTACTTAATTTATATATGACCAACATTAAAATAGAAAGAAAAGGGAAAATCCTTGTCCCAATTTTGGTTGTAGCATATATAGGAAGACTTTTCATTTCATTATAGAACACGCTTAGTCACTTACAGCTAATTATTGATTAAAACTCTAAATTAATACAAGTTGTCCGTCACAGACTCAAATTAGGCTCACCTTAATTAATTAAAATTTTGAAACATATAATACATCAATCAAATAAATAAACAATGAATTGATGAGTCGAGTTTCATGGCAAACAATAAAGATTCTTTTCACATAATTGAAGCACTCTGAATTTGATGACCATTAGAAGATATATTAGGGTTGGTTTGTTTTATTATTTTGGATAGGATTTATAGTATTTTTGAAAAAGTAAGGCTCCGTTTGGTTGCCAATTGGGAATACTACTTTTAGTATTCCCAAAAAAGTTAAACAGTAAAATACTCAAAAACTTTGATTTTTGGGGATACTACTCCCAATATTATTCAACTTTTTTTAAACCCCTTAAATTTGATAATTTAATTAAATACCCCTAAATATTTTTTTAAAAATTACAAAAACACCCCAGTAATTCATATTTACCAGATTCCGGCCACCACTGCCGGAAAATGGCCGGAATCTGTTAGGATGGCGCACTACCGGCTGAATCTGGCCGTAGTGCGCCGATCTAGCCTTTTTCGGTCAGATCCATGGTGGATCTGGCTGGAAAAGGCCAGATCTAAGGCCAAAGATCTGGCCGTTGACGGCCAGATCTTTGGCCGTAACGATTTATAACGACGGCCAACGAACGGTCGTCGTTGACCATCAACGACGATCGTTTGTTGGTTATCGTTGACGAGAAAATACGGTCAGATCTGGCCGTTGACGGCCAAATTTGGCCGTAGATCTGGCCTTTGTCGGCCAGATCCACCGTGGATCTGGCCGGCAAAGGCCATATCGGCGCACGACCAGCAAGATCCAGCCGGTTATGCGCCAATACGGTGAACCCGGCCACCCTCTGGCGGTGGTGGCCGGCTGTCCGTATTTGACATTGGGTTGGGGGTGTTTTTGTTAACTTTTAAGATTTTATTATAGGGGGTGTTTTGTAAATAAACAAATATAAAGGGTATTTTATTAATTTATAAATCCTACCTCGTAATACCCGCCCAATTCAACTTTTTTCAGAAAACTTTTTCCAAAAACACCCAATTGTGAACCAAACGGAGCCTAAAAGTTTAATGGTTATTACGAGGTAAAATTTGAAAGTTAACAAAAATACCCCATATGTTTGTTAATTTCTAAACACCCCTTAATAAAACATTAAAAATTAACAAAAACACCCACACTCACCCATTAAATACCAGCAGTTGGCCACCACTGCCGGAGGGTGGCCGGAGTGACCGTATTGGCCTAAGACCAGCTGGATCTGGCCAGTCGTGCACCGATATGGCATTTTTCAATTAGATCTACCGTAGATCTGGTCAGAAAAGGTCAGATCTACGACTAGGTTTAATCGTTAATAGCTAGATCTGGCTGCGTTTGGTCGCGACGACCAAAGATATGACTGTTGTTAACGACTAGCTACGACCAAAGATCTAGCATTTTCTAACCAGATCCACAATGGATCTGACCGAAAAGACTAGATCAGTGCACTATCGGCTAGATCCAACTAGAGGTGGAAAAAATGGGCCGGGTTAGGCGGGCCAACCCTAACCTGGCCCGTAAAAAAGAGGGCGAGCCCAACCCGCCAGCAACCCTCAGGCGGGCCGGGTTACACAATGGTAACCCGGCGGCCCGCCGGGTTGCTAATTTGTCCTCTTTACAAGAGGCCCGCAACCCGGCGGGTTGCTGGCGGGTTGGCTGTTGCCAACGGCCAACCCGCCGGGTTGGCCAAAAAAAAAAAATAATAATTGTAAATCTTTTTTATTTTTTTCAACTACACTTTTACCCTTGAAATATAGCCGTTTTATAGCCGTTGGAGGGGTCTTTTTCGTCATTTTCTTTCCCTATTTTTTTCTATAAATTGGCCCTAAACTCTCATATTTTTCTCACAACTCAAATTCTCTCATTTTCTCATATTCTCTATTCTAAATTTCTAATCTCTATTCTCTCAACTCTCAAGTCTCAATTATTCATTTATTCTCTTAATATTTTTGTTATCAATTTGCTCTTATTTTAATTTTTATTAGGTTTTGCAATTTTCAATTCATATTTCCAATTTCCATATTCCAAATCTCTTTCTTTAATTTTTATTTCTTCTACATCATTTTTTTTTTCAACTACAAGTCTACAATGGATAGATATTTCTCTCCCATCAATTTCAATGAGGAAGAAAACTATTATCCTAGTCCTAGTCCCGCTGATTTTACTATGAATGCAGGAGATTCAAATAGTCCCGCTGTCCCAATCCCAGTCTCAGAATCCGATACACCTCAAAATATGCCGTCGATTCCAACAGCGCCCGGTGGTTCTAGAAGTCGTCCTCGTAATCGTCGTCCTCGTCCAACTTCATCTCAAGCTGAGGCGGGATCATCAACTGCCGTCGAAAGCGAAAACAGACACACATCAGACGTTTGGGCGCATTTCGACAAGTTTTACGAGACAGAAAATGGCGTTCAAGTCAAGAAAGCAAGATGCAAATATTGTGCAAATGTTTATAAAGCTGATTCAGGTAATGGTACTAGTACTTTAAAAAGGCATGCTAATAAACATATTAATCAACATGGAAATAGAGAAAGCAATCAAACTCAAATAACTAATATGGGTACTACTTGGCGTTATAATTCTGATGTATATAGGGAACAGTTAGCTTTATATATTGCTGCATCTGATCAACCTATTAATATGGCAGAAGATAAATATTTTGAAAGATTTGTTCAAAATTCATTTTTTCCAGGATTTAAAAGTTATTCTAAAACTGCAACTAGAAATGATTTAATAAAATTGTTTAAAAAAATGAAATTAGAATTAAAAAATAAATTTCATACTTGTCATATTAGTGTGGCTTTAACTGCTGATATTTGGAGTGGTAGAGCTAAACAAGATTATATTTGTGTGACTAGTCATTATTTTGATAATGAATTTAAATTAAATAAATCTTTATTAGGATTTAGATTAATGGATGTGGATCATAGTGGTTTAGAAATCTATAATAAAATTATTGAAGTTTTAGAAGATTATGATATTATTGATAAAGTGATAAGTTTAACTTTAGATAATGCAAGTTCTAATAGTAAAGCTATAGAATTTTTTCAAAATAATTATCTTTTATATAATAATTTGAAGTTTTTTCACCAACGTTGTGCATGTCATGTTATTAATTTAATTGTGAAAAGTGGTATGAAAACAATTAAACAAAATATTGATAGAATTAGGGAATCTTTAGCTTGGATTACTGGTAGTAATAAAAGAAATGCTGAATTTCAAGAAGCTTGTATAAAATCAAATATGTCTCCTAGAACTTTTGCATTAGATATGCCTGTTAGATGGAATAGTACTTATTTAATGCTTGATTCATGTTTACCTTATGCTAATATAATTAGTTATTTTGTAGCAAATAATAGAGGTCCTCATCATTTGGTAGAAAATGATTGGAAGATAGCTAAAGTATTTCATTCTTTTCTCAAATGTTTTTACCAAGCCACTTTACAACTTTCTGGTGTGTATTACCCTACTAGTCCATTGGTAATACATGCAATTATAAAAATTTCCGAGTTATTTACAAAAAACAAAGATGATGAAATTTTACATGCACCAATAAAGGCAATGGAAAATTTTTTTTTGAAATATTGGAAACCCGTTCCTTTTCTTTATTGTTTAGGTGCTATATTTGATCCTAGAATTAAATTAGCACGTTTAGAAAATGGTCTTGACAATTTAAGTGAAAATTTACAAAACGAATCATATATCAATCAAATAGGAGAGGTAAAAAATAGTCTTTTCGAAGTATATTTCCAATATGAAAACAGGTATGGGAACCCGCAGTCGCAAAGAGGCGAAATATCCAGAGAAGCTGTAGCAGAAGAAACAAATGAAGACTTATTCTCTTGGAATGCACTGAATAGGCCGAAGAGGACCCGAGTCCGAAGCACAGCCTCCTCTTCAGACGCACCACCACCAACAACAACAACAACTAATATGCTGTCCTCCATGGAGTCGCAGAGTAATGAACTTCAACAATATTTGGCAACCCCCGAAATGTTTTCAACAGGTCACTTTGATCTCTTAGAGTATTGGAGAGCCAGAAAATGTATTTTTCCGGTATTATCAAGACTTGCCTTGGATGTTTTCGCTGTTCCTGTCTCAACCGTCTCATCCGAACAAACATTTAGTGCAAGTGGAAGGATTTTAAATGAAAGGAGGACTAAACTTGCTCCAAAAATGATTGAAGTCCTCACATGTCTTCGAGATTGGGAACGATCGCGCCATCAAGATCAATACGAGGTTATCGACAATGCTTTAGTAGAATCATTTCAATTTTGTAATATAGATGATACAGATGAGGGAGGTCCTAGTGAACCACCCCCAATTTAGTTGTTTTGTAAAATGTAATTTGTAAATTAATTGTCAATTATTGCACTCTTTTTTCTTTACCAAGTTTTTCTCCCATTGGGTTTTTCTTGGTGAGGTTTTTAACGAGGCAATAATTGTTGTAATTTCTTATTTTATTTTTTGATAAATGAATAAGTCTAATTTTTCTTATATTACAATTTTATTGTATTAAAATTGAATTAATATTTGAAATGTTAAAAAAAAAAAAAATTGAATTGAATTGAATTATTGATATTTGAAAAGTTAACTAAAAACAATTATATTTATAATTATTTATTTGAAAAGTTAAATTAAAAAAAAAAAAAAAAAAAAAAAACACAAAAAAAAAAAAATCGGGCTAACCCGGCCCGGACCGTGCCTAACCCGGCGGGTTAGGGCTGGCGGGCCGGGCTGGGCCAGCCACTCTCCCTAAATTGGCGGGCCTAACCCGGCCCGCCTTTGTTGGCGGGCGGGTTGAGCCCAGCCCGCCAAAGCATGTAACCTGCCGCGGGCCAGGTCGGGCTGGGCCGGGCGGGTTACTTTTCCACCTTTAGATCCAACCAGTACTACGCCATAATACCAGATTTTGGGTCGGAATCTGACAGATATGGGTGGATATGAGTGTTTTTGTCAATTTTTAAACTTTTTTTGGGTGTTTAGTAAAATTAACAAACCTAGAGGGTTTAAAGATAATTAAATATAATAAAATAAAATTTTCAAAAAACAAATATTTATTTCGAAAAAATAGGGATAGGATATTGCAAAAACAAATAAACAAACGCACCGAATGTGACTATTATGTTATTTATTTACTGCAACTATATTCAACCACCGCCCTTAAAAAAAGCCATGTGCAACGAGTAGTATTTGGCTGAAATCGGTACAGTCAACCACTCCTGCAAGCCTTGAACTTGAATACACTGACTTGAACTATTCCCTCCTTTATTTTATTTCTTTTGATCTTGTGACTTCATATTTTAGGCTTATATATATTAGGGTGATAATCACTCGACTGGAGTGATTAAACAAATACTGTTTTTAACTTTTCAGTAGTAACAAAACCTATACATGTGCACTGGAATATTGCATACATATTCTCTTTATTATATATAAAGAGGAAATATGTCCCTATAATTTAGTTCAAATTTCAATTAAAATATGAATTTATTTAACCCACCAGTCATGATATATATTAAAATCTTAACCACTTAATTTGACTTAGTATGTATAAATACACATGTTGTTATTTGTTAACTAAGAAATGGCATCCCCGAGCTAGTTTTCATACATTACATAAATGGCCGTCAGTGTATGCTACAAGTGAATAAATTTTTGAAGAGCTGACTCCTAATTATATGCTTGACTTCTCAAATAATAAATGGATTTAATTTTCATTTCTGTCCCTAAAATATACAATGCTTATCTGTATAACTAGGCATGAAAGATGCCATGAGACGTGTATAAAAGGACTGGAGGTTACGGTAAGTATCCATTGCATTGTGGCTTAGAAATTTGGATCATTGGTGAATAGCTAAAAGTTTTAGGGATGAAGAGCAGGCAGTTTGTTTTGTTGTTGTGTTTAGTTGGTTTCTGTTTAATTAGGGTCTGCCAAGCAGGTAATCTAAGGAAGAAATTCTACAAGGACACATGCAGTCGTGCTGAGGACATAATCAAGATTAAGACCTGGCAACATGTCTCTGCCAATCTCCAGTTGCCCGCGAAGCTCCTGAGACTGCATTTTCATGACTGCTTTGTTAGGGTAAGCTTAAATCATATGTACTTTCTTACGCTTTCATTTCAAGTATAATTTTTACTTAAATGTGGTGTGCATAACTTAATTGAAAATTATATTTTCAGGGTTGCGATGCCTCTGTTTTGATAAACTCAACAATAAATAACACTGCAGAGAAGGACGCAATTCCAAACCTCTCTTTGTCAGGATATGACGTTATCGAAGATATAAAAGCAGAGCTTGAGGCTGAATGTCCAGGAGTTGTATCTTGTGCCGATATTCTGGCTTTGTCCGCGAGAGACTCGGTTTCATTTCAAGTAACTTAACCAATCTAACTTTCTAAAATGATATTATTTATCTGCAAATAGAGCACATAACTATGGATCATATCTCATATATAAGTTGCATGTAATAACAATTGCAGTTCAACCATACAATGTGGGAAGTGCTTACTGGTAGAAGAGATGGCAGAGTATCCCTAGGTTCAGAGGTCTTGACTAATATTCCTGCACCTTTCTTCAACTTCACTCAGCTTAAGCAGAACTTTCAAAACAAAGGTCTCACTGTCCATGACCTTGTTGTCCTATCAGGTATATAATTATTTACATCATTAATTACTCAAACTTAATTTGTAATGCAATGGAGCTAGCCAAAATTTGACATTATATATTTAGGTGGACACACAATCGGAGTAGGCCACTGCAACCTCTTCAGCAGCAGGCTGTACAATTTCACTGGAAGAGGAGATCAAGACCCTTCACTGGACCCAACTTATGCTGCATTCTTGAAAACTAAATGCCAAAGCCTTAGCGATACAACAACTACAGTAGAGATGGATCCTGGCAGTTCTCTAGACTTCGATACCGATTACTATGCTATTCTGAAAGGGAATAAAGGTCTCTTCCAATCCGATGCTGCCCTTCTAACCAATAAAGGTGCAAATAACATCGTCTCAGAGTTAACTAATCAAACCAAGTTCTTCACTGAGTTTGCACAATCAATGAAGAGAATGGGTGCCATCGAGGTTCTTACAGGCGAAGTCGGGGAAGTTAGGAAGAAGTGTGGCGTTATCAATTAATTCTTTATTATTATTTTGTTAATTTATGAATTTTGTTTGTGTATCGATTAAATTGAAGATAGAAACCTTATTTTCGATTAAGGTTTCTATAAGGGTGTGTCTGGATCGGGGTCATATAAGATAACAGGGTAATCTTTGTTTATTTTGCAAGATTCCGTTGTTTGATTTGCAAGTAATAAAATATTATGGATATCTTTTATTGCAAATAGTGTTTACTATATGAGTTAAATAGGGGTAATCACATACCCTCCCTAAGTGATGTTATTAAAAGATTACCAGTTAATATGATTTTTATACATATTTTGCCCTTAATTAATTACCATTTCGGATACAATTGCCTGCAAATGTCTACCAAATAACCATTAGCGAGCCCCTCTACATTTGAGAATTTAGCTAAAACACCTCAGTCACAAAAAAGTTTAAAAGTTAACAAAATACCACGAACTATCCAAGACCACTGCTAGCTAGCACTGCCAACCGCTGTCGGCAGTTGTCGTAATGTCGCACAACCGACGGGATTTGGTCGGTCATGCGCCGATAAGGCCATTTCTGGATTGCAAGATCTGGCCGTTTCTATGGCCATGGATCTATAATCCATGGCCGAAAATGGCTTTGCCGGTACACGACTGGCCATATATGATTGGTCTTGCACCATTCCGTCAATTGTCAGCGGTGGCCAACGGTGGTGGCTCGTTGTAGGCAGTGGCTTGGCGTGGGAGAGAGTGATTTTACTACAAATTAAAGTTCTATATGACTAGGGTGTTTTAGCAAAATTTCAAATGTAGGGGTTAAAAGAAATGATTCAAAAAATAATATTATATTGATATTTAAAAAGGAGAGCAATTTAGTAATCTACATAATATACCCACTCATTTATCCTCTCAATCAAACGTATAAATATAACATACTCACCAATTTATTTAAACCAACTAAACATATTTCTCTAAATATTCTCAATAATTTTTAAAATAATTTATCTTTTCATTAATATAACATCCCCTATAATAAAATATTATACTATGTAAATGCAACTTAATTGTAACTGTAAATTAGCTTTGTTATTGAAGAATTAACGTGGCGTGTAGTGAGTTGAAAATTGAAATTATATGTCCGTCCAGTTTTTTAATATAGATCATCTTAATTTATTCACCCAAGGATTTAGATTCTTCAGCTTTACTTCACCAACCAATATAGATCATGTCAATTAATCATAATATTTTATTAAAGTATAAATCCTTTTACTATTTATGACTCTATGTTATAAAACTTCATCTAAATTGATGAAAAAGAAAAATTATGAAGGCAATTATCTTCCAAATTATGAAGGCAATTAGCTTTACTCGAAAAGGCTAATGTACCGTGTACACAGTACACCCACCTCCTGTTTCTCGAATTGCTCATAAGTTGATTTGTTTACGACCCCATTGTCAATACTAATTTATTACTGCTAGTAATTATCATACACCGTGCTTATGACGTTAAACCTCTACACAAAACTATCAAATGTGTGTATCCAATAAATATAAACGAGCAGTCAACTTAAAATTTATTTTGAGAAATATCAAAATCAAAAATCATGTTTTCATCTAGTAATTCCTTGGCATATGAGAATGCATGGTGTAGGATAAGTTTGAGTTAAATATTATAGATTATACTTTGAGGTGGTTCCATTGCTTTAATTATTTCAGTAATATATGTTGGCATTACTTTTTCACAAGTCTTATAATCAATGCCATTTGCGTACTGTTCTATTTTTTTAAAAGATAATAAAACATGTGAAAAAACAAATCAAAACAGCAGGTAGCACTGCAGAGAAAGATGCAATTCCAAACCTATCTTTGTCAGGATATGATGTTATTGAAGAAATTAAAATAAGAGCTTGAGGATGAATGTCCAGTGAGTTGTATCTTGTGCCGATATTCTGGCCTTCTCCGCTAGAGACTCGGTTTCAATTCACGTAACTTAACAAATCTAACTTTCTAAAATCATAATATTTTTTTTATGCCAATACGGCACATAACCATCGATCATATTCATAAATTGCATGTAAAAACATTTGCGGTTCAAAAAACCAATTTGGGAAGTGCTTACTGATAGAAGAGATGGCAGGGAGTCCCTAGCTTCAGAGGTCCGCACTAATATTCCTGCACCTTTCTTCAACTTCACTCAGCTTAAGCAAAATTTAAAAAACAAAGGTCTTGGCTACGTTTGGTTCAAGATTGGGAATACTTCTCTTAGTATTCCCAAAAAAGTTAAACAGTAAAATACCTAAAAACTCTCATTTTTTGGAATACTATTTTTAATATTATTCAATTTTTTTTTAAACCCTCTAAATTTGTTAATTTAATTAAATACCCCTAAATATTTTTTTTTAAATTACAAAAACACTACAATAATCCACATTTACCAGATTCCGGCTACCACCATCGGAAAATGGCCGAAATCTGGTAGGATGGCACACTACCGGCTGAATCTGGCCGGTAGTGCGCCGATCTAGTCTTTTCCGGCCAGATCCACGGTGGATCTGGCCAGAAAAGGCCAGATCTTTGGCCGTAACAGTCGGTCACGATGGCCAACAAACGGTCGTTGTTGAGATCTGGTCCGTTGTTGAGAGCAAATACGGCCAGATCTGGCGGTTGACGGCCAGATCTGGCCGTAGATCTGGCCATAGATCTGGCCTTTGCCGGCCAGATCCACCGTAGATCTGGCCGAAAAAGGCCATATCGACGCATGACCGGCAAGATCCAGCCGGTCATGCGCCCATAAGGCGACTCCAGCCACCTCCGGTGGTGGTGGCCGACTGGGGGTGTTTGAGGGTGGGTTAGGGGTATTTTTGTTAACTTTTAATGTTTTATTATAGGGGGTATTTTGTAAAAAAACAAATATATGGGGTATTCTATTAATTTATAAATCCTACATCGTAATACCTGCCCAATTCAACTTTTTTTTAACTTTTTTCAAAAAACTTTTTCCAAAACCCCCAAATTTTGAACCAAACGGAGCCCTTATTGTTTATGACCTAGTTATATGTGCAATGCTAGTCTTACAAAGACAAATACAAAGAGGGCATACAAAGACAATTGTTACTCTTCATCTTCATGATTTCTCTCTCTCTCTCTCTCTCTCTCTCTCTCTTTTTCTGTTCTTTCTTTGTTTTTTCCTTCTTACTGATGTCACTTTATACCTTTTTGAATTGTCTTTATAAGGATAGCATTTTTCTAGTTTTATATACTGACAGGTATATAATTATTTACTTTAACTTACTTTGCAATGAAAAATTTGACATAATTATTATGGCATGACATTTAATTAGGTGGACACACAGTCGGATTAGACCACTGCAACCTCTTCACCGGGAGGCTGTATAATTTCACAGGAAGAGGAGATCAAGACCCTTCACTGGACCCAACTTATGCTGCATTCTTGAAAACTAAATGCCAGAGCCTTGTCATTGTCCTGGCGAACAACGGCGTAGATTAAAAAGGCGGAGAAATCTAGTTGTTGTGAGGCCGAGTCATTGTCAAATGGCCATGTGTGGCTCAAGGTTCATTCGCTGGCCATTTGAAATTTTTTTTTTTTTGGTTAATTTGTTTCTGTTACATTTGGGAGGCTTGTGAGTAGTAAGAGAGGTTAGTTATTTAGGTTTACCAGGCGTAGAAATTTTTTAAAGCTTAATATATGTTGGGTAAAAGGAAATAAATGCCGTTTTACAGTTAAGTTAATGTTTGAGATTAATAAAAATGGGTGGAATATTGATGGTTTATATATATATATATATATATATCCCATTAATATATATTATCAATTAGATATTAATATATTAATTGTAGGTTTGAAGGCTTTATACGAAAAGGGAAATATATAACTACCCTGGTTTCTGGAATTGATAATTGGTTTGTTTATTTGCGATGGAACATTCGGCCCCATTTGTCAATACTAATTTATTACTAGTAGTAATTATCATAGGTCATGCCATAATTCATTAAAATATGATAAAGCAAGTAAAAAACAAATAAAAATATACAGATACTGGAGAGCCGTTAATTAACTTTTATTATAAAATAAATAAAATGTCTTGATGCAGGGGGCTTCAAGTTAGCTGTTGGTTTTATGTAATTAAATATGAAGGTGACATTAGCACCAATTCTGCTAAACAATAACACTATGGACACCAAAATATTAGCACCGAATTTCTGTACCGACTGACGTGGAATGCGTTCTCCCATTTCTTTATAATTTTTTTCTAGTGAACGGCCATCCATAAAATTTGGACGCCCGTCCATATTACATGAACGCCCGTCCATATTATATGGACGGGCGTCCATATGCAAGGGACGGCCGTCCATATAATATGGATGCCCGTCCCTACTAAAATAAAATAAAAAAATTTGTAAAAGTTTAGGGACGCCCGTCCATATAATATGGACGCCCGTCCCTATTAAAATAAAATAAAAAAATTTGTAAAAGCTTAGGGACAGCCGTCCATCCATTATGGACGGCCGTCCATTAATTTTGGACGGGTGTCCACAAATAATGGACGCCTGTCCTTTACCCAAATATGAAAAAAAAAATTTCCATTATGGATGGCCGTCCATAAATTTTGGATGGGCGTCCGTAAGTAATGGAGGCCCGTCCAAAAGTAATTCGTAAAAAAAATTTAATTTTTAACACTGGACGGCCGTCCTTAACTTGTGGACGGCCGTCCATTCATTGTGGACGGGCGTCCATATTGAATGGACGCCCGTCCATTAATTATGGACGGCCGTCCTCCATAAGGGTTGGACGGCCGTCCAACCATTATGGACGGCTGTCCATACTTAATGGACGGGCGTCCATTAATTATGGACGGCCGTCCTCCATAATGTTATTAAAATTTTTTTTTAAAAAAAAAAATTTCGCGTTTTAGGTTAAAACATTTGGGGAAGTTTAAAGTTTTTTAACACCCAGGCAACCATTACCATCTTCTTCGTCTTCCATCTGCGTTACTGCGTCTTCGCGGTGTTTTTCTTCTGGACTCCTGTTCTGCGCTTGTTCTTCGTCTTGGTAATTAAACACTTTCCTTTTTCAAGTTTTTTTTTGAATTTTTTTTTTTTTTGTTTTTGTGGATGAATGTGTTGAATGGAGTTGAGTTGATGAGATAAAATCCAGTCAATTTGGTGGGATGGTTTGTGTGATTGATGAATAGAAG